GCCCTATCCAGGATTGTATTCCTTTCTGGATTAAGCTCCAAAAACATTTCCTTCAACTTTAACATTTTTAGTTTTCTGTGCAGCTTTTCTTAGGGGGATGTCTGTCGATGAAGATGTGCTTTTAAACAAACTGGTTCAAGTTCTCGTACTCATGCTTGGTTTAATCACAGCTAAGAGGCCTAAGTGGAAATACTTAGACTACATTAAATAAGGACTCCACTTGCTGATTTTTTTCTCTACTATTGGGATAGGAAGAAGACTTCGCCTCAGAAAAATAGGATAGACAGTCATGTAATTCTGTCATTTTTTACCTGAATAAATGTAGTAGACATAAACAGTGATGAGGTATACCATATTTTTCAGATTTAAAAAAATCAGATAAATGAGTAATTAAAAAAAATATATAAATTTTTAATTAAAAAGTGTCAAAATAGGTAATAGACACTATATGATTTACTTGGTTTAAAACTTTTCAAACAAAAACTATTTATTTATTTGTGAAGGACCTCTTGCCTGCAGTACCTTCACAGTCCAGCAGGGGTCCACCTGTATAAGTGATACGTTTCCCTTTTGTTTTTGCTTTTATTTGTTTGTCAGCTATTATTTAGTGGTCAGTTTGGGGTTTTTTTCATATGCAGATATGGGAAACAAGAAAAATAAAGCCCAAGACAAACCTTAAAACAGCAAAACAAAAGATGTTTCTCAAACCTTTGACAGCTCTAAAGAAAACAAAGTGCTCTTTACACTGAACTGATAAAGATCCCCTTTAATGCTCAGTGGTTAAAATGTGTAACTAATAAATCATGATTGATTTGCAAACTGCGTGACTAGAGTGTACTGATTCCCGAAATCAGGGCTGTGGTACACTGGTGGGGCCTGCAGATGCTGCAGGTAAGCCACAAGAAGTCATTTATCATTAACCTGTTAACAGAAAAGCTTCATTTTGTGAATTAGTTCACAATTATCAACAAATATCAACATTAAAGAATGAAATTACTTCTAAAGAACTTAGACTGGAGTAGGGGCTGTCAGGAGGCAGAGGTAAAGTAATGATGTGCCTTCTTGGCCAGAGTCTTTCCTGATAAATAAATGAATAAATGGGGAATCACTCTTAACATGGAAACCATCGGAAGACTGAAATGAATCAGTGGATTAATAAGAAGAAACTATTTCATTTTAAATGTATTTATTTATGGGTGGCCCTGAGAAGAGTTTGGATTTAAGCAGCGTAAAGCATTATACTGAAGTGGTTCTGTGTACCTGCTTCATGTGTAATCTACAAAAATAACTGTGTGCATGTTTATTATCACATGTTTAATCTTTTCTGTTTGCTTACCTGGGCGGTGAAGTTGTCAGCAGCCTGGGGTGGGTCGTTCTTGCTGTCACCGGCCACGTTTCCACGGCGGATTTCCTTGACGGAGACGTTCTTGACGTTGAAGCCGACGTTGTCACCGGGCAGAGCTTCAGTCAGAGACTCGTGGTGCATCTCCACGGACTTCACCTCTGTGGTCAGGTTGGGGGGAGCGAAAGTGACGACCATGCCGGGCTTCAGGATACCGGTCTCAACACGGCCGACGGGAACGGTTCCGATACCTGACAGGAGGGAGAGAAGTCAGCGCTCCTCCATATCTGACTTGTCTTTTTTTTTAGTATTCAAGCTTTTCTGCTTTTGTAAATAAAGACTGATCTGATTGGTTAAACACTTAAAGCAGTGAGGAAGAGGCAGCTGGGTTTTTATTGTGTACTGTTTTTAGTACTAATAATAAAATTACATTTGTAAGTCCTGTTAAACCAAAGGTAGAAGAAGCTTCATAGAATTTAAAATAATAGCAGCAGTAAAGAAATAAAATAGTCCAAAAACAAATAAACAAAGAAATACATTTTAATAGTTAAAGCTAAATAAAGCTTAAACAACTTAAAACAATAAAAGTAAGGTGTTTTGATTCTGGAATCTAATGTGGCTTTAATGTTATCAACTGAACTGAGGTGACAAGATTTTCATAATTAAACATCCTCTTTGCTTTTCCTGATATATTATTTCAAACTACCCAAGATGTTTATGAAGCAAGTTTTACAGTTTTCTTATTAATCACTCTTAAAAGCACTGGATGTAACACAATACAAAGCAACACTGCAAAGTATTTAGATTACTTTTTTTGTCGTAAAAAATGAACACAACGAGTGATTTGCCAGTGATTTAGTTACTTTTACAATCATCAAATCAGCAATCAGATCCTGTTATAAGGTATTTATTTGTTATTTCTGTTGTGACAAAACAAAAAACATGAAATAGAAAACCCCTGAAATATTTGTACTGCTTCTGTCCATCTTTGACTCGCGCAACAATCAGCTCTACGTTACACTCACGCAATCCTGCAGCCGGGGTCGGCAAACGTAACGACAGCGAGGTCGACCTTTAGATTGTTTAAGTATTTTCATTATTTCCTGCTGGTGCTCAGATACTACTGAGGAGAACGATGCTGATGCTACAGCTCTGAAACGGCAATGAGGGAAATGAATAAGCTTGTTGCTGGTGATTTCAGAGTAGAGGAACACAGCGGTTGTCGGAGTCAGACTATTAGTGTTTTGTTTGCAGCTATATTACTTTTGAGGGTCCAAAAACCATTAAAAGTTATCCATAAACTCTGCAGGTGCACTGCACAGATGCAAATCTGTATATAATAAAAGAATAATAAATTAATTAAAAGCATAAACTTGGATGGTTTTTACCACACAGCAAGTCGTATCATTATTCAAATTATTGCATTAAAAATGTTCCAGAAGGCACAAAAAGCACAAACATGGTCTGAAGGTCCAGACACCGATTAGTGGAAGTAAGGTCAGGAAGTCAACAATAAATCTGTGTCAATCTCAGCAATCACACCTCTTTACTTTAAACCTTGACCAAATCCAAATAAATTACTTTTTAAAAAGTACCTTTAGCGGTAGTTTTTTACTGTAGGCATTTAAAAATGGGAGTTTGTGGGCACTGACTCGCTTTTGGAGTCAGCCACGAGTGGGAAGAGACACAGGTTTTACTTTTTCCTTGAGATGCGTGATGACTTACTGGTTTTACAGGGTGCTGTGTGGCTTTACTTACCGCCAATCTTGTAGACGTCCTGCAGGGGCAGAC